GTTGAAGAAAAATTATGAGGGTTCTAAGATAAGTCAAGGGTTGTCAAAAGGAATGGGAGTCCTAAGACGGATCAAATTTGTCGACAAAGGATAATGGGGGTCCTAAGACAGCTGAAACTGGGAAAAGTAATGGGATTCCTAAGACAAACCAAATTGCTCGACAAAAAGTAATGGGAGTTCTAAGGCGGGTCAAACTGGACGATAAAAAATTACGGGGATTCTAAGACAGGTCAAAAAGGAATGGCGAGTCCTGAGACAAATTAAATTCGTGGACAAAAAATAATGGGGGTCATAAGACAGGTCAAATTTGTCGACAAAGGATAATGGGGGTCCTAAGGCAAACCAAATTTGTCGACAAAAGATAATGGGGGTCCTAAAACAAACCAGATTCATCGACAAAAAATAATGGGGGTCCTAAGACAGCTGAAACCGAGAAAAGTAATGAGATTCCTAAGACAAACCAAATTGCTTTACAAAAAGTAATGGGAGTTTTAAGGGAGGTCAGATTGGACGATAAAAAATTATGGGGATTCTAAGACAACTCATATTGGTCGACAAAAAGTGATGGTAGCCCTAATATAGGTCAAATTTTATTGACAAAATATTATGGGAGTTCTAAGACAGGTTGACAAAATTTAATATCCTCATTCCCTAACACGAACCAAATTCGTCGATAAAAAGTAACCGGAGTTCTAAAATAGGCGAAATTGGGAAAGTAATGGGAATCCAAAATCAAGACAAATGCCTTGTCAAAAAGTCATAGGGGTCCTAAACGAAACCAAATTGGTCGACGAAAAATTATGGGGGTTCTATGATAGGTCAAGTGGTCGTCAAAAAGAATAGGAGTTCTAAGACAGGTCACATTTGTTGACAAAAGATCATGGGGTCTTAAGCCAAATCAAATTCATCGACAAAAAATAAAGGGGATTCTAAAAGAGCTCATATTGGCCCAAAAAAGTAATGGGAGTCCTAACATAGGGCAAATTTGTCGACAAAAATAATGGGATCCTCAGCCAAATCAAATTGGACGACAAAAAGTAGTGGATGTCCTAAAGCAACACATATTGGTCGACGAAAAGTGATGGGAGTCCTAAGATAGTTCAAATTCGTCGACAAAAAGTGATGGGAGTCCTAAGATAGGTAAATTTGTTGATAAAATATTATGGAAGTTCTGAGACAGGTTGACAAAATTTAATACTCCCATTCCCTAAGACAAACCAAATTCGTAGACAAAAAAATAATGGGGGTTCTAAAATAGCCGAAATTGGGAAAAATAATGGGGATCCTATAGCAAGACAAATTGCTTGTCAAAAAGTTATGGGGGTCTTAAGCCAAACCAAATTCATCGACAAAAAATAATGGGGATTCTAAAAAAGCTCATAATGGCCGACAAAAATAATGGAAGTCCTAAGATACCGCAAATTTGTCGACAAAAAATAATGGAGGTCCTTGGATAAAACCAAATTGGTTGACGAAAAGTAATGGGGGTTCTAAGACAACTCATATTGGTCGACAAAAAGTGATGGGAGTCCCAATATAGGTCAAATTTGTTGATAAAATATGATGGGAGTTCTAAGACAGGTTGACAAAATTTAATACCCCCATTACCTAAGACAAACCAAATTCGTCGACAAAAAATATTGGGGATTCTAAAATAGCCGAAATTGGGAAAAATAATGGGGATCCTAAAGCAAGACAAATTGCTTGTCAAAAAGTCAAGAGGGTCCTAAACGAGACCAAATTGGTCGACGAAAAATTATGAGGGTCCTAAGATAGGTCAAGTGGTCGTCAAAAAGAAGTCCTAAGACAGGTCAAATTCGTCGACAAAGCATAATGGGGATCCTAAGACAAACCAAATTCATCGACAAAAAATAATGGGGTCCTAAGGCAGCTGAAACTGAAAAAAGTAATGGGATTCCTAAGATAAATCAAATTGCTCGACAAAAAGTAATGGGAGTCCTAAAGCAGGTCAAAATGGACGATAAAAAATTATGGGAATTCTAAGACAGGTCAAAAAGTTGTGGCGAGTCCTGAGACAAATTAAATTCATCGACAAAAAATAATGGGGATTCTAAGACACGTCAAATTGGTCGACAAAAAGTAATGGGAGTCATAAGACAGGTCAAATTTGTCGACAAAAAGTAATAGGAGTCCTAAGACAAACCAAATTCGTCGGCGACAAAAATAACGGGGGTCCTAAAACAGCTAAAATTAGCAAGAAATGAGGATCCTAAGACAAGCCAAATTTTTTGATGAAAGGTATTGAGGCTGCTAAACGAGGTCAAAGTTGTAGACCAAAAATTATGGAGGTTCTAAGATCGGTCAAGTCGTCGTCAAAAAGTAATGGCGGGGTCCTAAATCAAACCAAATTGGTCAACAAAAAATAATGGGGTCCAAAGACAGCTCATATTGATCGACAAAAAGTAATGGGAGTCCTAAAACAGGTCGAATTAGTCGACGACAAGTAATGGGGTCCTAAGACAAATCAATTTTGTCGAGAAAAAATACAGCTGAAAATGGGACAAGTAATAGGATCCTAAGACAAGACAAATTGTTTGACGAAAAGTAATGGGGGTCCTAAACGAAGCCAAATTGGTCGATGAAAAATTATGGAGGTCCTAAGACAACTCATATTGGTCGACAATAAGTGGTGGGAGTCCTAAGATAACTCAAATTTGTAGACATGAATTATGGGAGTTCTAAGACAGGTCGATAAAAGGTAATGGAGTTCCTAAGACAAACCAAATTGGGAAAAGTAGTGGGAATCCTAAAACAAGACAAACTGCTTGTCAAAAACTAACCAAATTCCTCGACAAAAAATAATAGTTCAATAACCTGTAAATAGAAAGTAGTTTAGGCTCTAGGACAGGTCAAACGAGGTCAAACTGATTTAGAAGCCCCACTACTGTACACAACTACTGAAATAATATGTACAATCTAAAAGAATCTGTCTATTTTTTAAAATATGTTGATAGCTGAACACCATAACAAAACAGAAAGAGATTTGAAATAAAATGCGTATTTGTAGATTTTTTTGAAATGATATAGAGAAAAAGCAGGGATTGATAATACTGAACGAGTTTACTAAAAAACAGTGCATTTGACAAAGTGTATTTTTTTTATTTTATTAAAAATGGTGCAGCCCCTGGGATAGTATTTTTTTTAATATTTGAGGTGATAGAACGAAAATAAATACAATTTTTAATGAAAATATGGATCCGCCGGGATAGAAAAGACTTTTTCTAATCATTACATGGAATAGTATCTTTCAAAAAACGATGCATTTCTTCAAACATGTCTTCTATAATTTTTTTGAATAAAACTCTGATTTTCTCCGCTTTTTAAAAACCGAAGAGAAAAAAATCGCTATGCGGATATTATACTAATTTCCACAAAGAAAAATCGATATTGAGATTAATTTTAGCAAATTTGACGTTTTGCATTAAAATTCAATTTTAAAAACAACGAAAGATAGACGGAAACGGGAGATCTACTTTTTCATATTCTAAGAGTTATGAAACAAAAAAAAAAAAAAAAACAAAAAACAAACTATTTATCTCATTTTTTTCAGGTTAAAAAAAATATGTATCCATTTCAACATGCAAGATATTTGGCGAAGTTTCTTTGTTCATCCCCTTAAGAAAGTCGATTACGTCACTGTAAAAATTAATGGAACCGTTTTATTCTAGTTCATTTAAACGAATAAGATTAAACTGTGTTTTCAAGTTATCAGCTTAAGAACAACCCGAATACTTTGAGCAGAATTTTTTAAATTTTCTCGTATTTTCTCAAACTAACTCAGAAATTTGTATGCAACTATAAACATACAGTTTAATTCAGCACATACAGAGCACACCTGGAACTGGAATCAGCGACACTATTTCCTGTGTTATTACCCGGAAAATAAAAGTACGTTCTCGAGCGAAAAATAAAAGCTGTTTCTATGTACATTTTGCTTGAATCCAGCCTGAAGACGAAATTTAGCTAACTGCTCGTAGTGTCAAAGGTGACATTTCTGATGATTTATAATCTAAATAAGATATAAAGAAAATGCAATAAATCCATAGAGACAAAAGTGCACTTGACGAACTTTAACGACTACACAGTCAGTGGTTTAAAGGTGAAACGAACTTGTGTGAAGGTCGATCGTAATTACATGAGGCTTCCCATTTCGAATGGATCAATTCCATCCAAATCCTAAATTCTGCACATTTCTTTTACTCAAGCGTAAATGCATCCGTTCTACCGTGAGTACGGGTAGTTGGGACGGTAGGACCGGCTTTGGAACTTTTTCTAATGAGGAGTTCGTTCCACGTACATCATTATGATCGAACTTCGTAAATTCGTTTGAGCACTTAAGTATTCTTAACGAATTCACCAGCGATTGCTTCTTTTGTTGCCAATTCGTGTTTTACGTATTTTCATCTCGTTTGACCCAAATTGCGATTTTATGGCAAGCCGTAATAAAATTAATTAGGTGAGTTTATCCAAGATTGATGATGATGAAAGGAGAAGCCTCACTAAAACCGACGTAAATTAGATTAACATTCGGATTCTGCTTCTGCAAAATAAATGAACGGAAATTGTGACGGAATTTTGGTATTACAAAAACAAATTTGAATATTTTAATCTACTCGGGGAATCACCGGTAATTGTTGGAACAGCCTGCATTGTCGCATTTGTGCAAAGTTGGCAAAATTATGAAGAGACAGTGCCATTTGACAGTAGGGTGGACGAGAAACGAGGACTTGACTTGATAAAGTGAACAAAGATTTGTGTTTAAAGGTGGAATTTTTCCCCGACAATCCCAAAAAATTTGCCATTTAAGCCTTCAAACACGTTTCTCTGGCCGTAAATTTTTTCCACCCTACGAAGAGCGTGACGACTGTGACCCGAGTGAGCAGATTAGGCAAAATTTTAACGATTCTAACAAGCTTTGCTTATCGCTACCTCCACTCCAACCAGCGCAACTTCAACATATACTGATGTTATTCACACAGCATCGTAAAAGGTTTCCCACCAGTGTCACCATACATCGGAGTTAGTCCAACCCTGTGTTACTTGCTCAAAGAAAAGAAGCCTCTGTGTTGTTTGCAACTAGCTCAAGTGTGCGAACACTGCAGTTACCGTAATGCTCGCGATTACCAATGGCAGAACAAGACCATCATCCTGGCAGCGGATTATGCGTCTAATGGAATCTACAACTTCATCATACCGTTGAGGGCGCATTTCCGCTCGAAGACGTCGCTCAACCCGATCATACTTCTGCTGGAAAGGCGGCCAGATATCGCATTCCTGGACGCCATCTCGTACTTTCCGCTTGTTTATTGGATGCTGGGGACGATAGATTGGTGAGTGGTATTTTACAAATAAGGGAGCGTAGATGGGGTGAGATTGAGGGTTCCGATTTTTTTTTGTTCGGGACGAGCTTGGCGGTCTAAATATTTTTATCTGAGAATAAAAATAGGGCAACCTTTTTTTCAATGTACGTACATCATTAAATACACAGTTTTAAATCGGACGATTTATTTTTTAGCTTTGAATCTGCAAATGTCAGAATATTTGAGCTTACATTCTATGAAAAAATTTGGAATATATATAATTTTAATTGACTTTTTTTAGAATTGCTAGACACTATTTTGGTAAAATAATTTCAGACAAAAATAAAACGTTTGATTGAATTCGAATGGATCATTTCTGAGGTTCTGAAACCCTGATTGATTTTGAAGTGGCTTTAAAACTCAGCTACTAGATAGTTCGAGGTTTTTATGCAATATTTTTATTTTGTCTAAATTTGAACTAAGTGGAAATATTTTTTATGACTTTTTTGCTTTTCGCGGAGCCCTCATTTTTTGTGTAAAATGATTTCAATAAAATATAACACTTGTGTAAGTTTTCAAGAAGAAAGGTTCCATTTTCTGTAAAATATTCTCGTTTTCGATAAAAATTTAGTTGTAGATAGCACTAGTTTTCTGTAAAATATTCTCGCTGTGAATGAATATTGGAACCCAAATTTGAACTCGATTAGAATGTTTTTAAATGTCCACACTGTAGACTTAGTTTTGTCGAAATTTTTAAAACTTACTTTTACAGGGCTCAGATTTCTGTAAAATATTCTCATTTGGTATAGATTTTCGTTACCAAATAGTAGCACTATTTCTAAAGATCCGCATTGGGGTTATTTTTAAGAGTTCTTCAACAGAATTCAAATTTTCTGTAAAATATTCTCACTTTGAATATGTAAAAAGTCCGTCAAAGAATTTTTAAAGTTTTACAAAAATGATAGATTTTGGAGAGCAATTGTTAGCTAGAAATCCAGACTTTCTGTAAAATATTCTCTCTTTAGATAAATCGAAATTTCTTATTAAGTTTGAATTTTTAAATCACCTTTCAAACTTCCGTAGTACTAATTAATTTTGAGACGATTTTTAAAAACTTATTACAAATTCATTGAAAGCTCAAATTTTCTATTAAGATTTTCTCTCCAAACAACAATGTTTGATCACACCATTTCTGGCACCTACAGATGAAATTGACTATGGGCTGGTTTTTACAGATTGTCGTTGTGAGCTCAATTTTTCTGTAAAATATTGACACTTAAGACAAATCAAAAACTTGTATAAAATTTGATTTCGGTAAGAGTTTTTGAACCTTTGTAGTGGCTATAGATTATGAGTTGATTTTTTCAAGCTGCTGGTATATCTCATATTTTCTGTACAATATTCTCACTTCAAACACCAACCGTTGAGAACTTTTACAGTAATAATAATCAATTTTGGAGAACCATTGGCGGGCTAATGGCTAAAATCCCAGATTTCTTGTAAAATATTCTCACTTTCGATAAATCTAAATTTTGTATGTAGTTTGAATTCGATAAAAGAATTTTTATGTCTCTGTAGCCGAAACCGATTCTGCGGTAGTTTTTAAAATTAAGCTTTTGATATCACGAGTTTTTTTTATTCTCGCTTCGAATATTTACTGGATCCCAAATGTGAACTCGATTAAACTTTTTTTAAGTTTCTATAGTACTGGTTTTATGGAAATTTTTAAAAGTTGCTTTTGGAGGGCTCAAATTTTCTGTAAGATATTCTCATTTGGAATACATAGTTTATATTTATCAAATTTTATCAAGTTTGAAATCAGTGGAACTATTTTTAAAGATCCGCATCTGTGAGTTTGGAGTTATATTTTTAATAGTTCTTCTCACAAAATTCAAATTTTCTGTAAAATATTCTTACTTTGAATGTATAAAACACAATAATGATTGAATTTGGTGTAACATTTTTCCAGATTTTCTGTAAAATATTTTCACTTTAGATAAATTAAAAGTTCGTATAAAGCTTGAATTTGTTAAAACAACTTTCAACTTTACGCAGTAAAAATTAATTTTGAGATGATTTTTAAAAATTTATTACGGATTTTTTACAGAAAGCTCAAATTTTCTGTAAAATATTCTTACTTCAATATATATACCATATAACCCAATTTGAACTCCCTAGAAGGCTTTTTAAATTTTTACAGTTGTAATCGATTTTAGATTAACATTTGTGGGTTAATCTCCGAAAGCTTAATTTTTCTGTAGAATATTGTCACTTAAGACAAATCAAAAGCTTATATAAACTTTGATTTCGATAAGACAGTTTTTAAATTTTTATGGTTGCAATTGATTACAAGATGTTTTTTAAACCCGCTGGCGTTCTCAAATTTTCTGTAAAATATTCTTACTTTGAGTATGTAAAACAACCGTCAGAGAATTTTTAAACAATTGATAGATCGAAGCCCAGATTTTCTGTAAGATATATACTTTAGATGAATCAAAAGTTCGAATGAAGCTCGAATTTGTGAAAACAACTTCTGCAGTAGTATTTAATTTAGCGATTATTTTCAAAAACTTTTACAGATTTTTCACCGAAAGCTCAATTTTTCTGTAAGAATTATTCGTTGGAAACAAAGTGTTTATGGAAATTAAGTTTGGATTATCTTTAATAATTACAGACGAAACTAACTTTCGGTAAGTTTTTACTTCGAATATATACCATGTAACCAAGTTTCAACTCCGTCAAAGTTTTTTTAAATGTTTACAGTCGTAATCGATTTTGGATTAACATTTTTGGGTTAATCTCCGAAAGCTCAATTTTTCTGTAAAATATTGTCACTTAGGACAATGAAAAGCTTGTATAATTCTTGATTTTGATAACACAGTTTTTAAATTTTTATCGTGGCAAGAGATTATAAGGCGGTTTTTAAGGCCGCTGGGGTACCTCAAATTTTCTGTAAAATATTCTTACTTTGAATATGTAAAGCAGCCGTCAGACAATTTTTAAAGTTTTACAATAATGATTGATTTTGGAAAAAAATTGATAGATAAAAGTCCAGATTTTCTGTAAAATATTCTTACTCTAGGTGAATCCAAAGTTGGTATGAAGCTTGAATTTGTTAAAACAACTTTCAACGCTGTAGTAATTAATTTTGAGATGATTTTTAATAGCTTTTTACAAATTTTATACAAAAAGCGCAAATTTTCTGTAAGGAATGTTCGTTGTAGACAAAGTGTTCATGGAAATTTAAGTTTGACTAGACTATTGTTAATAATTATAGACGAAACCAACTTTCAAGAAGTTTTTACAGCTCACTTTATTGAGCTCAATTTTCCTGTAAAATATTCTTACTTCGATTATACACCATGTACCCAAATTTAAATTCCGTAAAAATTTTTTTTTAATTTTTACAGTCGTAATCGATTTTAGGTTAATTGGGTTAATCTCAAAAAGCTCAATTTTTCTGTAAAATGTTGTCACTTCAGAGAAATCAAAAGCTTATGTAAACTTTGATTTCGATAAGACAGTTTGTAAATTTTTATAGTGGCAATTGATTATTATTAGGTAGTTCTCTAAAGCCGCTGGCGTACCTCAAATTTTGTGTAAAATATTCTTACTTGCATATGTAAAAAAACCGTCAGAGAATTTTTAAACTTTTAAACAACTGATAGATCGAAGTCCAGATTTTCTGTAAAATATTCTTACTTTACATAAATCAAAAGTTCGTATTTTTTTTGTTAAAACAACTTTCAACCTTCCGCAGCAGTAGATAATTAATTTTGAGATAATTTTTAAAAACTTTTTATAGATTCTTCACAGAAAGTTCAAATTTTCTGTTATTTGTTGTTAACAAAATGTTCATGGAAGATTAAGTTTGATTGGACGATTTTTAGAAACTACAGACGGAACTGACTTTCGGTGTTTTTACAGCTTACCTTATTTAGCTAAATTTTTCTGTAAAATATCCTTACTTCGAATATATGCCATGTAAACAAGTTTGAAATCCGTTAGTCTCTTTAAATTTTTACAGACATAAACGGTTTGATTCACATTTGTGGGTTAATCTCCGGAAACTCAATTTTTCTGTAAAACAGTGGCACATAAGACAAATCAGAAAATTATGTAAACTTTGATTTCGATAAGAGAGCTTTTAAATTTTTATCGTGGAAATAGATTATCAGGTGGCTTTTTAAAGCTGCTAGCGTACCTCAAATTTTCTGTAAAATATTCTTACTTTGAGTATGTAAAACAACAATCAGAGGATTTTCAAACTTTTAAAAAATTGATAGCTCGAAGTCCAGATTTTCTGTAAAATATTCTTACTTCAGATGAATCAAAAGTTCGTATAAAGCTTGAATTTGTTAAAACAACTTTCAAGCTTCCAAGTATTAATTAATTTTGAGATGATATGTAAAAAGGTTTTACAGATTCTTCAGAGAAAGCTCATTTTTTGCGTAAGAATTATTCGTTGTAAACAAAGTGCTCATGGAAATTTAAGCTTAATTGAACGATTTTTAGTCATTACAGACCAAGCTCACTTTCGGTTAGCCTTTACAGTTTGCCTTATTAGCTCAAGTTTTCTGTAAAATATTCTTTCTGCGAATATATACCAATGCAACTAAGTTTGAACTCCGTCAATCTTTACATTTTTACAGTCGTCATCGATTTTAGATTAACGACGTTTGTTGGTTATTCTCCGAAAGCTCAGTTTTTCGTCCTTTTCGTCTTTTTCGTACTTTTCCTCCTTTTCGTCCTCTTCATCCTTTTCGCCCTTTTCGTACTTCTCGTCCTTTCCGTCCTTCCCGTCCTTTTCGTCCTTTTCGTTTTTTCGTCCTTTTCGTTTTTTTCGTCTTTTTCGTCCTTTTCTCCTGTTCGTAATTTTCGTACTTTTCGTCCTTTTCGTTCTTTTTATCCTTTTCGCCCTTTTCGTACTTCTCGTTCTTTCCGTCCTTCTCCTCCTTTTCGTCCTTTTCGTCCTTTTCGTCCTTTTCGCCCTTTTCGTACTTCTCGTTCTTTAAGTCCTTCTCCTCCTTTTCGTCCTTTTCGTCCTATTCGTCCTTTTCTTCGTTTTCGTCCTGTTCGTAATTTTCGTACTTTTCGTCCTTTTCGTGATTTTCGCCCTTTTCATCCTTTTCGTCCTTTTCGTCCTTTTCGTCCTTGTTCGTCCTTTCTCGTATTTTTTCATATTTTTCGTCCTGTTCGTCCTTTTTCGTCCATTTCGTCCTCTTTCGTCCTTTTTCGTATTCTTCATCCTTTTCGTCCTTTTCGCCCTTTTAGTCCTTTTTCCTCATTTTTCGTCAATTAAGACTAAAAGCTTGTATAAACTTTGATTTCGCTAAGCCATTTTTTAATTTTTATACTTCTCATCTTAGTAAATACTAGCCCCGCCCACCCGCCCTCTGTTTTCTTAGAGGATATTTCTTTTGCCAAAATCAGTCGCATCTTACCAAGTACTAACTCTGCTCATCTGTTCTCTATTTTCTTGAGGTTGAATGGGTGGGGCTAGTACTTGCTAAGATAACCCTGACTTTGGTTCATCACATATCCTCTAAGAAAATGAAGGCTGGGTGGGCGGGGCTAGTACTTGTTAAGGCAATACTGATTTTGGCCAATAACATATCCCCGAAGAAAAGAGAGGGCGGGTGGGCGGGGCTAGTACTTACTAAGATAAGACTGTTTTTGGCAAATGATAGACCCTTCTATTTTCTTAGGAGGTGTCATTTGCCAAAATCAGTCTTGCCTTAACAAGTACCCTTAGAGGGTATGTCATTTGCCAAAATCATTCTTATCTTAGCAAGTAGGAGCCCCGCCCACCCGCCTGTTATTTTCTTAGAAGGTGGGTCATTTGCCAAGTTCATTGGCGCATCCAATCAATAAACCTGCGTCATAACGTCCACACGAATCGGGAACTGACTTCAAGTTTTCTTTACAAAATTCTCATTTTGGACAAAAATTGGATACCAAATCTGAATATAATCAGATTCTTTTTAAGCTCCTAAGTTGTAGGTTTTTTTTCCGTAATTACTAACTATTATTTTTAGAGGACACAAATTTTATAAAAATAGAAGTTACCAAGTACCTATAACTTATTTGAAGGTTTTTCTGAGCGTTTTTTACAGAAAACTTAAATTTTCTGTATATGTTATTCGCTGTAAACAAAGTGGTCCTAAAGTTTAAGTTTAAATTGACAAATTTTAGTAACTATATTCTTAGAAGATTTATCATTTGAAAAAATCAGTCTAATCTTAATAAATACTAGCACCGCCCACCCACCCTCTATTTTCTTACAGGGTATTTCTTTTGCCAAAATTAGTCGCATCTTACTAAGTACTAGTCCTGCTCACCTGTCCTCTATTTTCTTGAGGGTGGATGGGCGGGGCTAGTATTTACTAAGATAAGACTGTAGTAGTAGTTAGTAGCTAGTAGTTGTTAAGGTAATACTGATTTTGGCCAATAACATACCCCGAACAAAAGAGAGGGTGGGTGGGCGGGGCTAGTACTTATTAAGATAATACTGATTTTGGCCAATAACATAACCCCGAAGAAAAGAGAGGGTGGGTGGGCGGGGCTAGTACTTACTAAGATAAGACTGACTTTTTCAAATGATATAACCTATAAGAAAATAGAGGATGGTTGGGTGGGGCTAGTAATCGCTAAAAATACCCTGACTTTGGTTGATCACATATGCTCTAAGTAAATAAAGGGTGGGTGGGCGTGGCTAGTATTTGTTAAGGTAATACTGATTTTGGCCAATAACATACTCCCGAAGAAAAGAGAGGGCGGGTGGGCGGCGCTAGTACTTACTAAGATAACACTGATTTTGGGAAATCAAACACCCTTCTATTTTCTTAGAAGGTATCATTTGCCAAAATCAGTCTTGATTTAACAAGTACGCATAGAGGGTATGTCATTGGCCAAAATCAGTCTTATCTTAGCAAGTAGTAGCCCCGCCCACCAGTCCTTTATTTTCTTAGAGGGTATGTCATTTGCCAAAATCATTGGCGCATCCAATCAACAAACCTGCGACATAACGTCCACATGAATCGGGAACTGACTTCAAGTTTTCTTTACAAAATTCTCATTTTTAACAAAAATTGGATACCAAATCTGAATATAATCAGTAGAGAGCGGAAAATATGCAGCAAAATTTTGGGAAATATGATCATATGATATACATCAAATTTATTCAAATATGCAGTAACTTTCTTAATATATGCAGAGATATGCAGTTGCATATGCTCCAAAAATAAAAAAAAATGGTAATAACTAAACTAAATTCATTTACAAATTACATAAACAGGTTTCCCGAGCATACGTTTTATTACAAAAAATACATAAATCACATTGCAAAGTGTTTAATTAATTCTCACTAACACCTAAATCACATTTTTAAAGATAATATTGTGATACTAAAAAATAAATATAAACAGAACAAATTGAAAAATAGTAGTAATCGACCATTTTTACTATTTTGGTAACAGTTTATTTTTTAATATTTTTCGAAATATTCTAACAAAAACTTATGCTTTTGTAAGTAGAAAAATTGCGTACTACGTCCACACATGTATAAAAATGCTTACTGGTTTAGAGCAAGCGGGACAAAACAGAGTTCCTTCTTGAAGAATAAGTTCAGGAAAAGGTTTAATCCATAAATTAATTAGAGTTATGGTCGACATATTGACACACATTAAATGCTTTCAATGCAAATTCACGATGAAAAATAATAGGGTAACGTCCCTTCGAACACCATAAAAAATTCCATTAATACGCTTAAGTAACGAACAAAAATATTGGGAATAAACGGTATTTCCAAAAGTAATAAGAGCCCGAATGTATCTGGAAGAATGGCTTAACACCCGGTGGTTTCTCCAAACTACCATAAAACCCAAACCTTTACTAGTTATTTGAAGCTGAGGACAATATGTATTTGCAATATGATTCATGAAATTTCGTTTTTCTAGATAAATGCGGATAGAATGACTTTTTTTTTTCAAATTAGCACAAAAATTGATAAAAACGCAAAATATGCACCGGTTACGGGAAATATGCAGCAGAAGGCAAATATATGCAAATATGCAATTTTTTTATAGCTGTATTCAGTTTTAATTAGCATGATTCGTTCACATATTAAATATCCAGACTTATGTGCAAAAAATAACGGATATGCAAATTTCATAAAATCCGCTCTCTAATAATCAGACTCTTTTTAAGCTTCTAAGTTGTAGGTTTTTTTTCGTAATTATTAACTATTATTTTTAGAGGACCCAAATTTTATAAAAATAGAAGTTACCAAGTACCTATAACTTATTTGAAGGTTTTTCTGAGCGTTTTTTACAGAAAACTTAAATTTTCTGTATATGTTGTTCGCTTTAAACAAAGTGGTCATAGAAGTTTAAGTTTAAATTGACAAATTTTAGTACCTATTATTTTTTTAGAGGATATATCATTTGAAAAAACCAGTCTCATCTTAATAAATACTAGCCCCGCCCACCCACCCTCTAATTTTTTACAGGCTATTTCTTTTGCCAAAATCAGTCGCATCTTACCAAGTACTAGCCCTGCTCACCTGTCCTCTATTTTCTTGAAGGTAGATGGGCGGGGCTAGTACTTGCTAAGATAACTCTGACTTTGGTTGATCATATATTCTCTAAGAAGATAAAGGGTGGGTGGGCGGGGCTATTACTTGTTAAGGTAATACTGATTTTGGCCAATAACATAACCCCGAAGAAAAAAGAGGGTGGGTGGGCGGGGCTAGTACTTACTAATATAAGACTGATTTTGGCAAATGATACACCCTTCTATTTTCTTAGAAGATATCATTCACCAAAATCAGTCTTGTCTTAACAAGTAGTAGCCCCGCCCACCCGCCCGTTATTTTCTTAGAAGGTATGTCCTTCGCCAAAATCATTGGCGCATCCAATCAACAAATCAACGACAACAATCAACAACACATGAATCGGTTACTGACTTCATGGTATGCTTTTTAAAAAATGGGCATAGGTTACCTTCTTGAGCTGTAAAATATTCATGCCATATAGTGAAATTTGAACTCTCTCAGAATCTTTTCAAGTTTTCAAGTTTTACAGTCGTAGTTGATTTTAGGTCGACATATGTGTGTTAATCTCCGAAAGCTCATTTTTTTCTGTAAAATGCTGTAACTTAGAAGAAATTAGAAGCTTGCATAAAGTTTGATTTCGGTAAAAGAGTTTTTGAACTTTTACAGTGGAAATTGATTATGAGTTGGTTTCCCAAAGCTGCTAATGTAACTCAAATTTTCTGTAAAATATTCTCACCTGGAATAGATAATGGAGACCAAATTTGAACTTGAATTGACTTGTAGGTTTTTTTTTTTTTCATAATTTTTAACACTTATTTTAGAGGACACAAATTTATAAAGGTAATCGTTACCAAGTTTGCAATTAATGGAAGTAAATATTTTTAGATTATTGCACCCACAATTTATTTTAGGGCTTTTTCTCAGCGTTCCTCACATGGCATTAATTTTTCTGTAAAATATTCTCACTTCAAATCAACCAAAAAAATGGATAAAGTTTCAATTCGACAAGGCAAATTTTTACCTTTTATAGTCGTAATTGATTTTAGAGTGCTCTTTATTAAAATTTATTATACATTACATAATCTCACTCTCAAGGGTTAGTGCCCCCAGATCTGAACTTGATGGAAATATTTTCGTTTTTCCACACTAGTAACATTTAAGCAAGCAGTAATTTTCGTTTTCAACTCGGTGATTTTTTCTGACACGTAAAAATGTTTTTTTTTTTTTAATACAAAGAAGACTGCCAATGTAATACAATATCCCCGACTGAATCCAGAAAAATATTTCCCTCTTTCCTCGAAATTGAATACATTTGCAACCAGACTCATCCAAAGCTTGACCTCCTTCCAGCTTGGACGACCTCCTCCGAGCCGGGATCACGTTAGCCGAAAACGTCGTCGTCGTAAACAAGGAGCTATCCAATTCCGCAGAAGAAGACTCCTTAGCCGACTGCAACACGATAGTGGCCGTTCAAACCATGTTCAAGTAAGTATCGAAAACCCGACTAAAATCATTATTTGTCTCCGAGATCAGTTTTCGACTCCGCTAAGTCAGAATACAAATGGCCCGCTCGCGCCATAATTTTTCACAGCCCTTTATAGATTCCCGTTAAGCAAGATAAAACCCCTTCGATCCGCGCCTGATAAAAATAAATAGTTCGCTCCGGACGAGGATTGATGGGCGCGTTTAATTTTAAATCTCGTGAAGGATTTATCCGGCCCGGAGCGCGAAAATTTGATCAATCAGCAAAACCGCCCATTGAAATTTTAATTGAGTCCGCTTTGACGCAGTTAAGAAAATTTTATCTCGTTTTCACCTCCGGAGAACAGTCGATTTAAATCCGGCAGCGGTTTGCCGCATTTGCATCTTAAAGAGCTTTCACGATTTTTAATTGCAGGTTTTTTCCGAGCATTAAGAGCATCACGGAGTTGTCGCAGTCGTCCAACATGCGATTCATGCAGTTCAGGGCCCACGACAAATACGCGCTGCACCTGTCCAAAATGGAAAAGGTAAATATCCAGGTTTTCCGGTTTTTTTGTAAATATTTTTCGATGAAAATGTATAAGCGGGAGAAAGTTGACGACGTGTTTGCTTTTCAATTTTATATACATTTTATGAATATGCATCCGTGTTTTTGGAGTGTACATATTTGATAAAGTTTGAACAAGACGGGTGAGCTGTGGCAATTAACAATTTCAATTTGAAGTTGGGTTTGTAAAAAGGACTTTTATTGTAGGCATGACAAAGGGAATTTCAATGCGTATGTACCTATTTTATTAGTTTCTTGCATATTTTTTGATAATGAGTTTGCTTATGTTGACCCAGTGGGGTAGGTCGAAAATGGCTGGGTTTGTTGCTATTTTCTGAGAACACAATATCTTCCCTCAAAAAAAAAAATTAATCAAGAATTTACCTCTACAATCTCAGAAATTAGTCAACATCTGCTTCCATTTGCATTTTTCATTTACAGATTTATACACATAGGAATATTTATTGTGGTTGATACTTTCTACTTACGCCTGCTTACACACTTCGTATGAAAACAACATTAAAGAACTGTATTTTTGTGAAACATTTTCAGTGTAGTGTGTTAAATTGAGTAGTTTTAGAACTTCTGGGTTCAGTACTTATTTTTCTACATCCAATATAGACCGTAGGTTTGTGTTCGTGCCGTGTTTGTCACCGTAAACTATCCCACACACACGACACTACAGTCATAAGTGTTGATCGTAGTCTCCTTCAACCCATATACACTAACACACACCTTGGATAGGGGAAACGCGCCAAGACTCTCCTTCCATTACGAGCAAGCCAGTTGGGCACCGAATTAACCCAAACCCGTCCCTTAGAACCGTTACAAAAACTTATATTTTTTTTTAGTACCTGCAAGGACCCCGTGAACGCCAAACCTGTCCCGTATTTGGTTTACGTTTAGCAAATCGCGTCAAGATGGCTTCGCGAAGCCTTTGTAATAACTTTGGAATTCCGTGCGTCGTTCTCACCAAGCCCTTGACCTTTAAAAGTACCCACGCCTGCCATGGGACCCTTACGGACGAACATGTGAGGAATATTATATGATTTGGCGTAACTTAATCATTTTTTTTGAAGTCATGTTGGCTACGTTTCCGAGTTGCTCCTAGAGCGCGAAAAAGTATGTCTTCCATTTCCGTCTGTCGGTCGTCTGTCTGTTCAGTGGCGATTTCGTAGCCGGTGCTTGTTCTAAAATGGAACACATATTTAGGGTCAGGTTCGTCTGTGTTCCGCTCCAAAAACTTGATGACGTCAGCTCAACATTTTGCAATGTAAATCTGACTTGAAATTTGCAAAATTATTGACGTTATCACAAAATTTCGTTGATAAATACTCATGTAACTTATAAAAACTTGAAATTCTCAGAATCAATTTTTAATTTATCTAAGAAACTGGACTTGATTCGTTGTGTTTCAGGGACGAGGGAAGTTCTGTCCAAATGACTTTGGACCCAATTTTTATGTAAGTTGTTAAAATCATGTCCTTTACATCGGTTAGATTTTAAAAATACCGCTATAAGTGATTTAAATAATATTTTATTCTCTTTAGATGGTAAGTCAGATTGCATCGACATAACATAACCTCACTTCCGAGTTTACTCCACCGGCATAGAAAAGGAATTTTTCTGATGGAATTTCACGCAAAATGTTTTCTTTTATCTAGTGGAGGAAGGATTCATGTAACAAAATATTACACTAGCAAGAGTACTTCAGTAATATACAGGGTGAGTCACTAAGTGCGCGGTCTTCGATTTCTCATTAATTATTAAAAAAGAACAGGTACAAACTCAAGTCGTATGGCTCTTTGAGCAGTATACATTAAAATTATTTTGACTATACAGTGTTTTGTTGTCGAACGCCCTATATATTTTTACATACTTTTATTGTCTTCTGTTTTTTTTTTGCAATGCAAGGGTTGCCCAAAAAAAATCTTATTTTAATATACAGAGTGTTTATGAAATAATTCTAAAACTTACCAGTTTCAATATGAATCTTTAATTTTTTCAAATAGTGTTTTTTATTGCATTTTACACAATTTTTTGTTTACTGTGATTATAAAGATTAAGGAGAGATCAATCAAAATTGTTGTTAAATTTTCTATTTCTCGCTATTTTGTTTTTTCGATTCTTCGTTGTTTCAGATTTTGGCATTCCTAAGTTTTCGATTTTTTTTATTTTCTTAAGTCTCGATTTCCCAATTTTGAGTTTTTCAATTTTTCGATTTTTCAACTTTCGATTTTTCAATTTTTCGATATTTCAGTTTTTTGATTTTTTAATTTTTGATTTTTAAATTTCTCGATTTTTCAATTACATATTAAATTTTTGGATATGTATATCAGTTTTGGGATTTTTCGATTTTTGACTTTGTCATTTCTCAACTTTTCGATGTTCAATTTTTCATTTTTTCAATTTCTCAGGCTTTTGATTTTTCGATTTTTAAAATTTTCAGTTTATCGATGTATCAGTTTTTCGATATTTCAGTTTTCGAATTTTTCGGTTTCTCAATTTGACGAACCAAATTTTTTGATTTCTCGAAATTTCGATATTCAGTATTGGCATTTTAAAATTTTTCTAGTTATCAATTTATCAATTTTTTGACATTTCAGTTTTGAGATTTTTTAATTTCGATTTTTTAAATTTTATATTTGTAGATTTTTTGATATATCACTGTAGGAATTTTTAAGTTTTTTGATTCTTTAATGTTTCGATTTTCCAGTTTCTCGATTTTCAATTTTTCTGGTACTCAATTTTTGGGTATTTCATTTTTGGAAATTTTCAATTCAATTTTTCGATTTCTTGATTTTTCATTTTTTCGATTTATCAATTTCTTGATTTTCTATTTTTCGATTCTTCATTGTTTCAGTTTTTGGATTTCTCGGTTAATCGATTTTTCAACTTTCCGATTTATCGATTTTTTTATTCGTCTATGTCTCGATTTCCCAATTTTTTGATATTTCAGTTTTTCGATTTTTTAATTTTTTGGTTTTTAAATTTCTCGATTTTTCGATTTTTCGTTTTTTCGATTTTACATTTTTCAATTACATATTGAATTTTTCGATGTTCAATTATTTCAGTTTTTCAATTTCTCAGAATTTTGATTTTTCGATTTCAAAATGTATTTCGATTTTCTAAATCTTAAAATGTTTCGACAACTCGATTTCAGTGTTTCGGTTCTTCAATTTTTCGATACATTAAATTTTAGATTTTTCGTTTCTCGAACTTTCGATTATTTCAGTTTTGGGATTTTGCATTTTTGGATTCTTCAATTTTTCGATTTTTCAATTTCTCGGTTGTTCTGTTTTCAGTTTTTCTGTTTTCAATTTTTGGGCTTCTAAATTTTTTCATTTTTCAGTTTTTGACATACCTAAGTTTTTGATTTCTCAGCATTTCAATGTTCGATTTTTTAGTTTATCAATTCTTGTATTTTCCATTTTTTCGACTTTTCTATTTCTCAATTTTTCAGTGTTCAGTGTTGAAACTTCTAAATTTTTCGATTTATGAATTTATTAGTTTTTCGACATTTCAGTTTTAGAATTTGCTTACTCCGATTTTTTAAATGTTACATTATTAGATTTTTTGTTATTTCAGTGTAGGAATTTTTCAGTTTTTTGATTTTTTAATGTTTAGATTTTTCAATTTCTCGATTTTCATTTTTTCTAGTATGTACTCAGATTTAGAATTTTTCAATTTCCTGATTTTTATTTTATATTTCGATTTCATAATTTTTGGTGTTCTTTAGTTTTCGAATTTTTGATTACTCGATTAATCGGTTTTGTCGACTTTTCGGTTTTCAGTTTTCCATTTCCGAGTTTTCGACAATTTTTCAATGTTTCAGTTTTGAGATTTTTTCAGTATTTCCAATTTTCAATTTTTCGCATTTTTTTTTAATTTCATCAATATTTTGAGATTTTCCGATTTTCCGACTTCTCGGTTCTAGATTTTTAAATTTGATTTTTAAAATTTTTGATTTTTCGATTTTTAAATTTTTTTGTTCTTAAACTGTTCAATTTTTCGATTTTTTTAATTGAAAATATTTCAATTTTTCATTTCCCAATTTTTCGAGAATTCACTTTGGGGATTTTTCCGTTTTAGTTTTCAGTTTTTCGATTTTTTCACATTTTCGATTTCTTAAATTTTACATTTTTTGATGTTCCGATTTCCCAATTTTTAAATTTTTTTAATATCAATTTTTCCAGTTTCCGATTTCTTAAGCTGCAGCATTTTTAATGTTTTTTCGAGTTCTCAATTTTTCAACATAGCAATTTTGGGAATTTTTCAATTTCTGGATTTTTCAATTTTTGGTATTTAAATTCTTCGATTTTTTAAATTTTAAATTTTTAGTGTTTCGATTGCTCGATCTTTGGATTTTTCGAATTTTCGGTTTTCGATCTTTCAGTTTTTCAATTTTGCGATTTCGAAAATTTTTTATTTTTCGGTTTTTAGATTTTTCGATTTTTCAATTCTTCAGTGTTTGTACATGTTTTCCATTTTTTCCACTTTCTGTTTCTCAATTTTTGCATGTTCAGTGTTAGAACTTTAAAATTTTTCGATTTATCCTTTAATCAATTTCAGTTTTGGAATTTTTTTATTTCGATTTTTTAAATTTTAGATGTAAGGATTTTTTTTCGATTTCGCCTCAATTTTTCGAATTTTCGATTTCTCCATTACTCGATTTTTCGACTTTTTTCGATAAACCTGCATTATATTTCTTTTTTCTTTTAAATTTTTTAATTTCATCATCAATATTTTGTTGTCTAGATTTCTCAATTTTTCAACTTCTCGGTTTTAGATTTTAAATTTTTTGATTTTTCGATTTTTAAATTTTTTAGTTTTAAAATTTTTGAAATTTTCGATTTCTCGACTTCTTGTTTTTAGAAAGTCACTCTTATCCTTAGCAGGTACTTGTAAAAATATGCAGGGTTTTCCATTAAAAAAAACTCAGTTGTATATAGTGTTTTAAAATTAAAACACTCTGTATAATAGTTGAAAATATTTCCAGTCTGCTACTTAAACAGGCTTACAGCTTTAGTCTTGACTTTTTTCTAATTTAGTAATAATGAAATATCGACGAGAGAGTGCTTAGTGACCCACCCTGTATATATTTTTTTATGTGTCCCTGGTCAAATTAATAAATATAGTTTAATTTTCTTCGGGAAACGTTACATTTAATATTTGAGAACGACCATAATGCGTGTTTTAAAATTCTTTAGGATATTCGATATGTACACAGTGAGTCAATAAGACCGAGATCTGAATACTTCATTAATTAATTTTTAGAGACAGAAAAAAGTAAAAGACCAAGGTTGTACGATTCATTAAAGTTCTAAAAAGTTTTCTTTATGGTTAAAAATTCTCTAAAATTATTTTTAACTATACATAGTGTTCTATTTTTAAGACGTAACACACAAGTTTTTTCTTTTTTTGGAACACTATGTATTTTTACATTTTGTCATTAGTCTCCTCCTGAGCTTTATAGGAACATTTTATTTTTGAATTTCCAGTGCAACGTTGCCACGTCATTCCAATTTCCTTGAAAATTTTTGTCAAAAAAAAATTGAGTTTTTTTAAAATGTGTGTTACATTATTCTGTATAGGTACAAATAACGTATCTATGCTTTTTAGTGTGGTACCGAATAAGTCAATTTTAATATACAGTGTGTTTATAAAAACAATTCTAAAACTTCACGTTTTTCAAATATCCATATTTCAGATTATTCAAATAGAACACCTTGTATTTTATGATTGCAACTCACACTATTTTTTGTTTCCTGCGGTTATAAAGCCTAAGAAGAAGTCAATCTGCATATGTCGAAATATACAGGGTTTTCCTTTTAAAAAACTAAATCGTGTGATATGCTTTAAAAGTAAAACACTCTGTGTATAGTTGAGAATAATTCTAGTGTATGCTATTCAAAGGAGCTATTGGTTTTAGTTTTTGACTTTTTATAATTCTAACAAATAATAATTAAAAAGACATCGAGGAGCGAGCACTTAGTGACTCACCCTGTATACATATTTTTTTTCATGTGTA